CTGAGGATCATGGTTCAAAGCCAGCCCAAGTAGGAAAGTGTGAGAGACACTTATCTGTAATTAACCACTAGAAAACCAGAAGTGGAATTATGACTCTCTGGTAGCGTGCTAGCCTTGAGTGAAAAAGCTCAGGGACAGCACTCAGGCACTGAGATTAAGCCCCACAACTGACCAAAAAAAGAAAAGAGATAATGCCATGTACTTTGAAGGTACTCAATATTTATTTACTGGTTACTTACCACTCTTCTAGGCACTTAGGGCTTTGATAATTGTGGGCATTTCTTTAATGGGCTAGCAAGGCAAAAGAGATTACATAAATCCGATTGTGATCTGCCAGTAAAAGACTTTATACTATAACCTAAATTATTTCCACCTTTTTTCCCTTTTCTTTCCTATCTTTTTTCTTTTCTCTTTACATAACTGGAAAACAGCTAGTCACTAACTTATTTTTTTTTTTTAACAAAAACAAAAGTTCTCTAAGAATAGAAAAAATCATACCAACCCTTTCTTTTACAAATGAATTTTTTTGGGGGGGAAGAATAATGAGGATTGTTCTTGCAAATCAGGTCAGACCTACTACTATTTGAGCCATGCTTCCATGCTTTTTGCATTTTCCTTCTTTGTTTGTTTCTTTCTCCTTTATCTCCTTCCTTCCCCTTTTTCTTTCTCTTTCCCTCCCTCATTCCTTCTCTTTCTTTCTCTTCTTTGTCTCCTTCTTTCCTCTTTCTTTATCTTTCTCTCTCTCTAGCTACCTCTCTTCCTTTCTCTCTCTCTTTCTCTCTTCCTTCCTTCCTTTTTTCCTTCCTTCCTTCTTTGTGTGTGCCAGTCCTGGGACTTGAACTTAGGGCCTAGGTGCTGTCCTTGAGCTTCTTTTGCTCAAGGCTAGTACTCTACCACTAGAGCTGCAGCGCCACTTCTGGCTTTTTTTGAGTAGTTTGTTGGAGGTAAGAATTTCACAGACTTTCCTGCCTGGGCTAGTTTCAAACTACGATCCTCAGATCTCAGCCTCCTGAGTAGCTAGGATGACAGGCATGAGCCACCAGTGCCCAGCTATGTCGTATATTTTGCAGGGAGGGTTTTGCTTTATGTCCAGCATGAGTTGGACTATAAGCCTACTTGTGTTTCCCCAAGTCACTAGGGATGACAGGCACAATCACTCCAATCAGACATTGTGCTTCTACCCATGGCTGAGATAGTGGACATGTGCTAGCATGCTCAGACATTAGTTGTGATGGAATCTCTCAAATTTATTTTTATTCTGACTAGCTTTACACTGAGATCCCCAAGTTTCTACCTTCCAAATGAGTAGTTAGAATTACAAGCTTGAGCCCCTGCATGCAGCAAAGTAATTATTTTTAATCTAGAAAGAATTTTTTATAATATACTATCTTCTATTACTCACTTAATTCTCCATGCATCTCTAAGGTGATAGGAAAAGCAGGTTAGTTTTGTGAGTTAGATCACTTAACTAAGGACATCCAGGTAAAGTGAATAATTGTGGAATATAGCACTTAATTTTGCTACCATTGGCAATAAAACCGTGCTTAACAACTCAGGGGAGTCTTTGTAAAGCTGAAAACCACTAGTCACTATGTGTTATACTAATAGTAAGATTTAGAGAGCACTTATTACTTGCAGTAAGTGCTTTAGTCATTAATTCATTAAATTCTCATAAAAATCCAGTGAGTTAAGTACATTACCCTCACTTTATAAGTAAGAAACTGAGGCAAAAGATTCAGTAATTTATCCACATGAAACTTCTAGTCATCTCAATGAAATTTTTATCCTTAGCATTTTCCTATGTCAATAAAAATACTTTATAAATATTATTAGTGGCTTCATAATGTTCCACTTTACATCTGTATCACAATACAATCAGCCATGCCCCCACCAACTTTGAAATTCTGGTTGCTTCCACAAGTATAATTAGTCTGCTATAGAAATCTCTGCAGACAAATATTTGTTCATATTTTAAAATTATTTTCCTAGGACCGATTCCTCAAAGAATTAGTGGGTCAACAAATATTTATTGGATATATAAAGTAGAAATCACTATCTCATGTGTTTTCCCTCTTGCTTTTATGCTTACAAAGTTTCTTTCCATCTCAAGGACAAATGAGAAGATTCCTGTACTTTTTTTTTTTAGGGTTCACACTTATCATGTGAATATATATATTTGAATTGATTTGATGAATGAGTTATAGTTATTTTTCTCTCTAAATTGCTAGCCTCTTTTTCCAAAAACACCAACCAAAAAGATAACCCTTTCTCTATTTGTTTGCATTTATATACATGGATATATAGGTGATATATATTATATAATACATATGTGTACCACAAACCCACATTCATAAGCTATGTACACACATGCTTGCCCCTCTCCCCCAAACATCCATTTTCTATTGGTTGGTTCATTCTTTCTGTCAGGAGGCAGTGAAAGTTTGAAAACAGATATACAGTGAATATTTTAAGTGCTGGATTTTAGATATTGGCAAATTATTTCAGTGGAAATAGATAATAGGACATTAAAAATGCAGATCTATTACCTACAAGAGATAGAAGCCCTATTTGAGTGCAAAAACATTACTCAGGAGAATGCCAGAAAAAAAAGAAGTGAGAGACAAGGAAAGGAGCACAGAAAACTGGCATGCCAAGACCGAGTGGAAGAAAACAGCCATGGAGAAAAAAAGAAGCCACAGAAGTAAGAGAAACAGTGCAGACCAGGGCAAAACAAGTTCCAAGCATCATCATGAATGACACATATTTCTTGGCTTAATGGATGCAAACAACAGCATTACATTCTATTCCAATCCTCAGAAATAGAAATGTACTCTCAGTTTTTTGGTTTGTTATAAGCAGATACCAGATGCAGACTCAGAATATCAGAACATCATTACATCAGCTCCACAGAGCTTACCGAAGGACACCTGTCCAAATGTTCTAGTACATTTTAAATCTATTTATAGGCAAATCAGAGAGATTTGAAATGTTTTTTCAGTGACAAATCTTCATTCTGGAAGTTTTGAGATCATTTTGCTCACATACTAAAATAGAGTCCTTTAAAGACAAAAGAGAGATTAACCATTTAGCCTACTTTAACCATGAGTGCTGTTGGCTCTCTGGAAGAAAAACAAATCCTCACCAATGTAAAACGAATCCTAGCCTTCGTCTGCTAAAATAAGCCAAACTCTCTGGACTCACATGTTTACAATAACCTCATTGTTTGGCTGATATGATTATCACTGCACAAGCACCTTCCTATTTAGTGTATGATGAGACGTCTTTCAAAACAGGTTAGCTTGTTAGTTAGTTTGGTCTGTCTCTAATATTTTGACTATATTTATGCATAAATGAATAGTCTGTGTCTGTTTACTGAAAATGCACCTAAGTACCTTGCTAGATATCACATTTCCATCTGAGAAACCTAAAAGGAAATACAAGCTTTGCCGAGTCCCTTGGCCAAACACAATCATAAAGGAACAAAAATGTTTTCAGTTTCAAAAAGAAAAACATAAAGGTATTCTATCAATTGCCCTCCATTTAACTTGTATGAATCCATTAACTCATATGCATACATATGAATTTTTTTCTATTATATCTGATCTTCCACACCAAAAGGAAATCATATGACTATAACTGAAAAGTGATGGCTTCTCCAAAGAACAAAAATGTCTCTCCACTTAAAAATAAATTCTCTCCACTGACAAGCCATTCTAAGCCAAAAGTCATGTGTTTAAGGGGTGGAGGTGGAGAGAGGGTGTTCTATATCCCTCCAGAGGCCCAATAGGGAACTGAAAGTACCCTTGGACATGAGAACACAGAGATGATGGGGCTCCTTTATGCCCAAAACCAAAGCCAAACCAAATCCAAAAAAAACAACTCCAGATGCTGCCTCCATACAATTACAGCCCTGGGTAAGACAGTCACATAGGAGGCGCTGTCAAGTACCTTCCAGGCTGGGCAGTGACTATAAAAAGTGATCCTGCACCCTGTAAGCCTGCCAATGCTCATTTCAATCAGCCTTCACTGTACGTAAATTTCTGAAATTACAGAATTCACCCCAAACAATCTGCCTATATCTCATCACCACTATAAATATACATTCTCCCAAAAGATGGAAGGAACCTTACAAAAAGTTGATACAATAGGTCTCAGACAAATCATGAACTCAAATATTTATTAACTCAAATAATTACACTGTTCCTTTCATTTTTTAAAAAATTCCAAACTCAAGACTCTTAAATGCTGAAAGTCTTGCTGATAGCTATACTGGGTTTAGTCATTCCTTGAGATCCAGCCAAAATGAATAGCTAAATTAGTAGTTAACTCATTGTATGTGGTACTTAGTGCTCCATTATTGCTTCTTAGTTTTCAAATAACCACAATCTTGACTGATCTTAAATTGTACTATCACAATATATGCTGTTTCCTTTGACTAGATGCTAACTCTTCCGTTAATCTGCCTAGTACTTGGCTTCTCAAGTAGCTTAAACACCACATCTACTAGCAACAGTTCATTAGTCAAATACATCCCTATAATTTCTCACAATATCCTTCCTTTACTGATTTATACAATCCTCCTTTGGATTCCAAAACCATCCTCTGCATATTGTCTTCACAAGAATAATCACACTGTACTTTATTTGTTTATGAGATACATCGCCCCTACTAGTCTTTGAACTCCTTTAACATCAGGAATCTGCTCATCTTTATTTAGTAGACATAGAAAAATGTTTCTCTGGTATTTAGCAGACATAAAAAATGTTTAAGAAATGGGTAAACAGATAAAAAGACTATGTCCAGACTTAGAATTACAGAGATGGGTCTTTAGAAAACATTTAGTTCATCCCACTTTATCCAAAATTCCCTAAAATGGTATTTCCTAAGAGATTTCTTAAGAAAGACCTCTATGTCAAGATGTTAAAATAAAGAAATCATTATCTATATTGAATATAATATAAACATTATCTAATGAAAATAAATTATATAAAAAGCCTTACCGGTAAAGTTCCAGGCAGAGAAGCATCAAAAAAAGAAACCAAAGAATTTGGAGGAGCTGCAAAGCACACTTGAGATCCTGAGAAGAGTTTGGAGTTGGAAGAAATTTGGGCATGAATTTCTAGTCCTACCACAGCTGCCCATTTGTGTTCACTAAAGAACAAAGGAAAATGGTTAAGTAGTTGCATGTCACCATGCATGAATTTCTATGCACTTAAATTATAAATCCTAATTTCCTATTTGTGCTTCTACCTTATTAAAATCTTATATCCCTACATATTATAAGGTATAGACTATTGGTGACTAAATAAAAAAGCAATTCCTAATGAACATGTAAAATGAGGCAACATAAATTTGTTTACAACAGGGCATAAGGAAGCTCATGATACAAAGAAGAAGGTGATTGAGAACAGAACACCTTGGCACCTTAAAATCATTTAGAAATGGGTACTAAGTGACAATTGTTTGGCCTAGCTTCAGTGAAAAGCAGCAATTTCTAAATTAACTGTATTTCATTAATGAATCACTCAAATAATAAAGAAGGCTGAACTGTTGATCATTACTTGAATTAACATAAATGGAAGGATTCTACTATTAAAGAAATAAGTGGTTAAAAATTAAATTCTCAGGCTGGGAAGGTGGCTCAGCGATAGAGCGCTTGCCTTGCATGCATGAGGCCCTGGGTTTGATTCCTCAGCACCACATAAGCAAAAAGAAAAAAGCCAGAAGTGGCGCTGTGGCTCAAGAGGTAGAGCTGAGGGACAGAGCCCAGGCCGAGTTCAGGACCATTACCGGACCCCCCCCCAAAATTAAATTCTCAAACATGTTTTGAGTTCATCGTATAACTTCAGCTTGTAGGTACAATGACTAGCCCCACAAATACCAAAGACCAGCATTGAAAATTACTGAAAACATTAAACCATCTGATGCAGCTTTTTTTTTTTAAGTCCCTCAAATTGGTTCCAATTCCTGAGATCTAATTTCAGGGTTTTTTGTTTGTTCATATTTGATTGCTAGAAAATCTAAGAAGCAGTCAAATGCTATCAAAATCATGTTTCTATGTCCATTCCTATCACGTTAGCTTGCTATACAAGTCTCTTCAAGTAATTCTAAGTGTATCTAATCTATATGCAATTTATTCATGTTCCTACCCTGCTTTTCTCCCAAGGAATTTCCAATATTATATAGATTTTTGTTTCAGTTCCAACACATGAAGTTGTACACTGAATGCAAAAAAGATTAATTCCAAAGTATAAGATACTTTGGGGGGAAAAAGATACTTTGGAAACATTTCCAGTGAGACTAACAACTCATCAGAAATGCTTCATTGTCTAAAGTTATTACTCAGAATGTGTTGCAGTGACTACAACTTTTATCACATGAGATAAAATATACTTTCAATTCACGGGGAGATAATCTAATTTGTGAGACAAATTAGAAGCTGAATCGTTTTGGACATTTTCTCTCTGTTCTAACTGAAAAACAAAAATAATGCCAACCTCAAAGAAAAAGGAAAATATTAAAAATGCGCCTTATGTCTCCACATTTTAAAAGAAACTATTTTAATCTTATTTTTAGAAGCATAAACAGCTGTTCAGTAAAGATCTAGCAAAATCAGTGACTCTCCACTGAGATGGGGATGTTGGGGGAGGGGGTGTTCTTCAGTTGACTACATCTTCCCAGGGCTCTATACAGATATTCAACATAAAGGCCTTCCCAGACAGCTACTGTTTTTCTGGCTAATGGTGTCTGTTAAACTACCACTACACAGAGCTTTTGGATAATTGCGTTCTTTTTACCTTTATAGCACTACTAGCCAGTGGTAGTGTTAAATATAAGTTAAACATGACTTTGCTTCCAGTGGTCCCAATACTACTGCAGCTTTTAAGGTGATTGCACCCACTCTTCTATCTGTGCAGCAGACTCAAGAAACACTGGCTTTTTACATTCCTCAATCTCCCAAATGTGCCTACCACAAGACTGGTATATGGGAAGTAGTAAAGAGCAAATAGAAAGCCGGTTTGCGTTTCCTTTAGGCTTCAGAGCTCCACGACATAGGGAAACAGCCCCTCGCCCACCCAAACATCTAAAGGTCGGGCTGCACAGAGACCTTCTGCTCCCTAGTCTCGCAGTTCCACTGCACACTGAACAGAATTGGCATGAAAATGAATACCCTTTTCTCGGCTTGTGAGCACTGTGGAGAAGCTGCTGAGCCACTGAACTCTGTCTCTTCCTCCAGCTGGACGTGGGCCCAGTCGGAGATCCTCTCCCGTGGCAAGAACCTCCATCAATCCACGTTAGAGCCCAACGTCTTCCTGGGCCGCTGCAGCGCAGCAAGGGCGCCGCCATTGCACCGCCACAGTCCCGGTCATGTGACTGACCTTGACTCTGTCCCGTGGCTTCTTGGGAAATGTAGTTCTGTTAATGCTCTAAAGGTATATACTCGTGAGCCAGAAGACTACAATTCCCAACAATCATTGCGACTAGAGGCCTGACGGAACTGCGAAGAGGGGAGGGAAAGAAATAGAGGAAAAGGTGAGAGGACTTGTGGGTTGGGAGGTGTGACTCCTCCTAGCGGGGAGCTGGCGAGGTCGGGGTGTGTGTGTGAGTGTGTGTGTGTGTCTGTGTCTGTGTGTGTCTGTGTGACTGTGTGTCTATGTGTGTGTGTGTGTGTGTGTGTCCTAGCGGGGAGCTGGAGAGGTAGGTGTGTGTGTGTGTATTTCACAACAGTGCCAAGGCTTCCAGAACCCCTAAACCTACTCGTTATTTTCTCTTTTGCCCTTCCCACTTCACCTACCAATTCACTAATGCATTCAATACTTACTTGCATACCTATGGTATGCCAGGAACAGTTCTTAGACCGTGGTGGTACAGCAAATAACAAGACAGTTAAGGTTCTTATTTTATAGAGTTTATACCCCAGGGAGAGGATCATCTCTAAAAGAAGGTAACAAAAATATAGCTGGGCACTGGTGGCTCACACCTGTAATCCTGTCTGCTTAGGAGGCTGAGATCTAAGGATTGTGGTTCAAAACCAGGCCGGGCAGGAAAGTCTGTGAGATTCTTAAACTCCAATTAACCAACAGAAAACCAGAAGTGGTACTGTGACTCAAGTGGTAAAGTGCTCGGCTTGAGCTGAAGACTCAGGGACAGCACCCAGTCCCAGAGTTCAAGCAGAACAGACTAAACCTTCATATTTTTCATACTTTAAGCACATTTACTTAATCTCATTTACATTCTTTATCTGTGTATCTAGAATAGTGTGCTATAAAAACTTGAAAAAAATAGAATAATCTGCTATCAAAACTTGACAGCAGATACCATCATCTCAGTGGATTCTTTTTCTGTTTCAGCACTCATAGGGCTGTGAGCATGGCTCCATGGTAGAGCACTTGGCTCGCATGTGCATAGTATTACATTTGATTCCCATGACTAGAAGCAAACAACAAACACCATATACCCCTGTTGAATTCCCATGGATTCTTTATATCTGAACACATAACCGAGAATAGCCATTCTCTATTTTATCATCCTATTTTAATTGTTTGCATAGTGCTCTGACTGTCTGATGTTTATCTTCTATCTCCACAACTGCTTGTCTGTTATCCACCACAGGATTTCCAGGACACTGAGTATCCTCTTCAAAAATATTTGTTGAATGTAGTGCGGTATGCATTTGAAAAAGAACAAATTGGATGCACTTGAAAAAGGAAGTGCTGTTTAGAAGAGAGATGATGAATTAGGGCAGTAGTGGAGGCAAACGAATAATCTATCTCTATTTGAGATAGACTTAGAAGGTAAGATTGAGAGACTCAGTGATGAATTGGCTATGATGGAAGACTAGGAGGATCAAGTAACTCCTGGATTTCTGGCTTACATAACTGGATGGATAATGCAGTTCTTCACTGAGATAAGGATGCCAGAAAAAGAACTGCTTTGCAGTGAAAACATGAGTTTGGTTGCCTTGGAGACATCCAAGAGGAGAAGTTAAGTAGATACCATTGATGCCAGAGTATAGAGCAGCAAAAAAGCTGCATTCACTCCATACTTCACAAGGGAAAATAAACTATGAATTAGAAATCTGCAAATTGTGTTCTGTTTCCCAGTTATGGTATTATGTAATATAGTCCTATACATAAGGAAGAAGGAAATTTTAATTGCTCTCCTTAAAGTGACCATCATTTACTTTTTCTGTATTTTCTAATTTTTATCCCTTATCATTGAATCCAAATTGCTACACCAGAGATAAATTTTTTCATATAGCAAGGATGAAAATGAGAGAAATGGTAGTAACTGGAATGTAAAGGTGGACATGTGTTCAAAAATTTATCACTGAATAGTCCCTTTATATCAGGGTCAGATCATTGTTTGGATTCTTTATAGTCATTTCTCGCCTCTGAGTTTCCGTATTTTCTACCTTTATTGTAGATGAGTTTGACTTCTCCATCTCCTTTAGTTCCTTGGTTTGTTCTGGTCCAGACCTGTGGTATCTATGAACACAGCATCGTTTTCCTTTTTAGGACTACCGGGAAGAAAGGAAGCCAATATCTCTAGACAAAAAGAGGGTGAGACTCTTGCTACACTACTGTCAATCAGCATAGTTAGTACTTAGTTCATCCCCTCACCACCATACAGGATAGAAAAACATAAAGAAGGATCTAATGCCATGGGTAAAATGCAGTGTGATGGAAATGCATCTTTGTTTATGAAGTAGTAGTATGCAACAAAAGGCTACCACTGTCAAAAGACAACCACCCCACCACTAGAGGGGGAGAAAATCCTACACAAGTAAGTGTACTTAATGAAGTCTATAAATGGAAACGTTCCCGTTTCATTGATTCTGTTTAGCCATGGTCTTTCAAAGTCCACAGGAGCTAATGGTAAAAAGGAAGATTTGTCACCCATCTTTCTGGCTCCTCTTTCTCCAAAAATTATCTCTTATTTCTAAAAGAGAAAGAAGGTCCTCTAGGAGAGTAATGTTTTACAAATGCTCCTCTTGTCTTGATCCTTAACGAGCAAAGTTCTCCTACCAGCCCCCTAACATGGAACCATTTCTTGCCTTCCTCCTGTGTGCCAAACCTGATATGTGTCAGAACTGTTACTGACAGACAGCTCTCTGGCTGAGAGAGCTATTTCCGTTCCACTGACAAGGTGGCTGTCATCTTGAAGACAGAGATTTCAATTTTCAAGGAGCTCAGGAGGTAGCAGGATAGAATTTCTAGCAAAAACATCTTCCTGGGGAGGGGTTCTTTAGCTCATGTTTTATCCATATAATTGACATGGTACAAATAGAACAAATTTTTTAAGAGAAATAAAAGCCAGACTAGAATTTTGCATTGATACTCATAAATGGAGACAGCTAGGAAGTATATTCTATTTAGTATTCTTCAGCGAGTCTTTGGGTATTTCAAACCTGGAATGGACTGCTTTGCCTCCATATTTGACTCAAAATTCCAAATAGAAGTGTTTATTGTTATCATTGTTTCTCATCTGTTCTTCCAATGGAGGAAATAATATGAAAACGTCACTTGTGTTCCAGGGTTTATAACTTGTTCGGCTTCTCTGGGTGCTATATAAGGCACCAAGCTTCTGCCCTTTAAAATGAAGTAAACAATTTTAATGGAAACATGATAATTTCCAGTAAATTAAAAGGAGATAATTTCTGCTGTCATAATAATGTATCTCAAAATCTACTTGTCTGTATTTTTTTGAATCTTAGAATAATGTGAACTTACCTACTGTCTGAGTAACTACTTTTGTCCTGCAGAAACAAAGGCTATGACTTAAAAATGTTTAGCAGACGAGTAAATAAGCCACCCTCTGGAGTCTGATAAACATGGATCTCCACTGTTAGTGTTTATTAAACAGAGTAGTGAGTTTGATCTTATCATTATCTGAGAGTTTCTGTGTTTTTGGACTAGAAATACTGCTGTTGAAATTTCATGTCTTGTGGATAGGGAGAGAAGTTTGCTAGGTCACTATAAATTCTCTTAAAAAAATAAAACAGCAATGACACAATCATTGCTTGAGATCATGAACATACGACAAAATTGGCTGGATTATTTTTTATGGAAGATGAATCTTGAAATTGCATAGGTCATGTTTTTGACAAAGTGTTCTTAAAACACTAAGTTCCTTCTTAGAAAAATCTACAATATAAGATCTAGTTAAGTGTCATAATGGGGAAAAGAAAGACTGGGAAGACATGACCTGTTGAGCAATTCAGAGAGCAGGATTCATTTCCTTTTATTTTTCTATTGAAGTCTTGGTTCTGATAAAATACTGATATGGAAGGAATAACTACTTTCTCTAGAAGATTGCTTTGAGGCAAAGAAATCTATAATTCTTTCTTCCCTTCCAAAGCAAGGAAATAGAACACCTTGTCCAATGTCTTGGTAAAGATAAACTGCCATCCAAGGAAGATGGGGCCAGCACATTGCTGCTATTAGGCCTTGCATAACACTACAATCTCTCTGTGGTTTTCCTTCTTCTATCTCATCTCCATGGTTGCTTTAGGAATTTTCTTATTAGCCCAATGAGCTCCTTTCCCATAGCTTAGCACGCTCCTTCCCCTTTCCACAATTTAGCATGCTTCTTTCCTAGGCAACACTAGGACCATGTAGTAAATGCAGTAAATAATCGGCCTCCAACATCCTCTACCTTGGGATGGCACTGCTCTGGAGCAGCCACAACTATATAAAGCAACAAGAGCCCCTTAGAGTGGCCTTCAGGTCTGTGCAGCTTCAGGGCCCCTTATCTACTACTTGGGCAGCAGCCATCAATCCTAATCCACCATGATGAAGCCCCTGGTCCACACGTCCACACCGGGGTCTCCGCCTCCTAGCCCCTTCTAGCCCCTCTAGCCTCAGTAGCTTATATAGGTCACCTCAGACAATAGCCAGCACTTCTCACCCCTCTCTGTGAGAAGGGGTCTTGCCGGCCCCTTTACTGGCAATAAACCTTTACTTTGTCTTTGTATCTGGATGTCTGCATGCTTTTCTGGCAAAGTCTGATATACTCTAACATTTCTATTCTAGTAATCTCACTGTCTCTGGGGACAATCAGGAATTACGTGTAAGGAAATGCTTCACTTCTGAGCATCTTTGACTCACCACTTACTTGAAGGAAGAAATTTCTCAACTGCAATTAGTAGCCATTAAAACACATTAAAGTCTATGTTCCCACAAGCTGTACTTTTTAGTGTGGTCAGATCTCAACATCACACTAAAAAGCTCTCGTGTTTTGGAACTGAACATTTGGCTGTTAAAGTTAGACTTTGCACATGCATATACACATACATACAAATATGCATATATGAACACATACACGCACAATACTCTGGTAAGCACAAAAAATACCAGAAGCTTT